CCCCAGGCCCCGCCAAGCCTTTGCATCTCGCAAGCCCTGCCTGGCACCAGGGGCTTCTTGGGGAGCAGGCACCGTCCCCAGCCCCTGCCCCAGGAGGGTGCAGGCTGGGCACCCCTCACTCCCAGCTCTTGCCCCCGCAGCAGTTACCTACTGTCTGGCTCAAAACACCTCTGCTCTTCCCTGTATTCAAAACCTAGATCCGGCAAGCAATTTTTTTTTTTGCCTGTCCCTTGAGCCGCTTGCTTGGCTCCCTCTACACAGAACTGGCAGGGAGGCTCCAGCTAAAAGAGCAATTCCTCCAGCGATGAGCAGGGCGCCTGTCAGCATCTTCTGCAAGGGCTCCCTTTCAACGCCCCAACTCAGAGCGCCAGCAGTCCCCCCGCAGACGCAGCCTCTTAAGTCATCAGAACAAGCTGCACTTGAGCCCTGCATTTTGGCTCCTTAAAAGTCTTAAAAAGACTGCAGGGCCATTCCAGAAAAGCACACTTCACTCCTCATATGCTTACAATGGGACATATTCGCACTCTGTTACCCAGGGAATTTGAGATGCTTTACCTTTTTTAGCTCCTTCGGGCACTATTCTGTACACTTTATAGGGATCTGAGATGTCCAGCTGGCTTCTCTCCACCAGTTCTTCAAAGTCATTGCTCTTGTTCAAAGCACACCTTAATCTTGTCTTCCAGGTAGGGGGATCTGGTTTATCAATGCCCTCTCTGAACTTGCCTTTAAAAAGAGCCCAAGCCTGGAAACATTTCAGATAATCAAAAGAGCAAGAAAAAAAAAAAAAAAAAAAAAAAAAAGGGAAAAAAAAAAAAAAAAAGAAAAAAAAAGAGAAAAAAAAAGAGGAAAAAAAAAGAGAAAGAGAAAAAAAGAATCAACTATAAGGTATAAGTCCACAATGCTTGAAACAGCATATATGTGTGCGCCTACACATGCATGAATTTACTCCCTACAGCTTTAGGCTAAGAAAAAAAGCAGCATGGTAAGGTAGGAAAAACAGTTTAGCAGGCACAAGGAAAGGGAGAAAATGATCCAGTGTGGAAACAGATGTGCTGCAATCCCACAAGCATTTCACTCCACATGGAGAAGTGGGAAAGGGCGGGCTGTCTCATCCTGCAAACACAGGGGACACCAGGGCACGGCCGGGGCCACCAGGCAGGCAGCCGGCGGCAGCGGGCACCCAACAGAGCCTGCAGAGGCGGGCGGCGAGGACGGGATGGTGAGGGACCATGGCAGAGCCTCCGGGCACCCTTCCTGCCCCAGCTGTGTCCCACAAATCCCGACCCTGGGCTGAGCCCTACCTTGAAGAGGGCAGCATCCTCCTCGCGGTTGTAGTCCTGCTTGCCGGCGTGCTTCCAGGGGATGCGGAAGATGCTCTTCTCATCGTTCTCCCATACCAGCCCCGGGTACTTGCCGCTGTCTATCTGGTCGATCAACCACTGGCGGAGTTTCCCGTTGCCGCAGCTCACCGAGTTCATCCCGCACTCGCCCGGCTCCAAGTTCATGCCACTCGTGTCGGGGGTCAGGCGGGGGGTTTTGGGGTGCCTCACTGAGCCCACCTCTCCGCACACGCCCAAGCACCAGCTCTCTGGGGGGGCTGTGGAGGAGGGGGAGAGGGGCAGGATTGGGGGGAGGAGAGGAAAACCCACAGGTCAGGTGCTGGCTGAAGTCCCCATGTAGAGCCCCGCCAGCGGTCCCCAGTCCCCAGCGCCACATGTATCACACCAAATGGCAGCTACAGCGTGCAGGGGGGGCCCCAGGGAGCCCGGAAAACACGGTACAGAGCCTCAGGAAATGGGGCACAGCCCCCCCCAGCCCTCCCCAGGCACCGCTCGTGCTGCAGACTTTGACAGACTTCCCCCCTGTCCCGACACTGTTTTGCATGAACATATGCGGGTTGTTGAAATTTTCACTGCAAGTGACTTAAGGCGCAAACCCCCTGTCCTGCTCGGAGTTCAACTGGGTTTTTACTTTTTAACCAGAAAAAGAAAAAAAAATTGCATAAAAATGCATTTGCATATGACAGTGCACATACGTAACGTGAGACACGTGCGCACAATTTGGAGAGCTTCACAGGCAGTTAGAGGATTTATACGGCACCTAACTGTAACATTGAAGTAGTTTTCCCAGGCTCGCTTAAGCAAGACGCAGTTGAACACATGACGTCCCATACATATCTACCCTTCCAGCTGCTCCCAAAATGCATATATAGTAACATTCAAATCTATACATTGCAAATACCTAAAAGCGGAAAGGGAGCAACCCACGGAGCCTGGCAGAAGGGCACTGTCCCCCAAGACGTGGGAGCTTGCAGCCAGCCACGCGGAGCCCCAGCTATGCACAGAGGTGCGGGCACGCACCGGGAGCGGTGTGGGCACCCGCTGGAGAGGTCCTAACCTGAGGACACGGACACCAGTGATGGGGACCTGGCATCAAGGTTTCGCTACCTGACCTGGAAAAGTGCTTGACTGCCCAGAAGTTTAGGTTGGTGGGGGGGTCTTCCCCCCATGACATCTAATAAAAAAGTGATTCCTCGCCCACAGTCTCTGCCTGTACAGACAGGGAGACCTTCAGAGACCCCTGGTATGACAGGTGCACGCTACTGCACCCCTTGCACCCCTCCTCGGGCGGCAGCATCCCCCCCTCCTTCAGACACCGAACCCGGTCCCCCAGTTTATTCCCTGGGCACATCGTGCCCGGGGGGCGGCCGGGGCCGCGGCAAACCCGCGCGTGTCCCGCCGGAGCCCGTGCAAAGACCCCCCAAAAGTCCTTTCCCCTCTTTCGACAGAGAACGAAGCGGATCCCCCGCCACCCCTTCCCGCCACCCTCCCCAGGGCAGGGGGAACCGGGGGCCGGTGCGCGCCTTCACCTCGGGAGCGGATAAAGGGGCGTGGAATAT